ATTTTGTCTCTTTCAATTTTCTAAAGTTTAAGAACATCAAACTACATGGACTGTGCCTTCCAAGCTGTCCTTTGTGTTTGTGTGTTTTGATATCGTAGATCCCAGTGTCAACCGATACCACGTGCAGTGGTTTCCAGAAGTGTGTGCCCACAACAGAACAGCCGGATCGGAGACATCATCTGGCACAACTCACGTAAGTAGATCGTGCTCCTCGGCTCTCAATAGCTCCTAGACTTATCGGTTCTGTGCATGAAATTGGACAGAGGATGTGCAAATCGTATATGATGTCCAACAGATAACTCATTCTCACAAATCAGCAATTGAAAAATGCTTCGGCTAAAACTGAAACCACTATGGTTATTATATCCATTCATCGAGAGCTTAGCACAGGGCAGGTCCTCTAATGCAGAAACTAAAGACTCAGCGCTTATAGGACTCCCAGTTCAGTGAAGAAATATTTCTGAGTATCTGTGTGCTTCATCTTAATTCTTAAGACCTTTGAACTATTTTCTGAATTTTGACTTGGCACTGCAATCTAAAGGTGCTATCTTACCCGTGATTTTCTACATGACACTTTCATTCAGCAGCCCTCTTTGTCGTGTATCCAGTTAATGAAAGATACTATCTTTCCTATACACCACACACCCACATTATGAGTTTTAATTTTAACAGAACATTAAGGTCTTTGGGGATAGCAACTCTGTCAATACTACTCAAAACATTATTCTCAATATGTTGGGTTTAATGTATGAATATAGATTAGAATCAGCTAACATAAAATGTTTAAACTAACACAAAATGTTTAAGAGGGGATTGCATTATGCAGCGTGTTGAGGACAGCTGTTTGTATGTAATATATCAGGACAATTTGAAAAACCCCAAAATGTGGCCCCCCAGTGTTCAATATTTTGGTTTTTGATATGTAACTAGAACATTTTTCTATTGAACACTTTGTAACGGCAACAAGTTCAGTATTTTTAGAATCATATCTGATTGCATAACTTCAAGATGCTAAGATAAAACAAGTTGCTGGATTTGCAGAAATACAAAGTTGGGTTTTTTGGGAGTTTTTTTTTTTTTTTTTACCAGATTTGACCTTTCTCAACCTATGTTCACTAAAGTTGCTTGTTTTATTTATCCTTAAGTGTTTCCCAAAGTTTGTGGCCTTCAGCAGAAAATAAAACAGACATTATAAAAATGGGAATATATCGGAAAAGTAGTGAAAGAACTATATAGAAGCAGGATTTATTAAATTTTTTGAGGAGGGGGTATTTACTTTTTTTTTTTTACTTCTATGTGCCTTGGAAACTATGGAGCCTGGCTTCTGTTCATGTGGGTACCCGATCCTGTGCTTATTACGTGTAGGAACTCTAAGAGTGACAGTAACTATCCACTGAGCACAGAGGAAGGTACTTCAAAAAGTTCATGGAAGATGCATATTATCTTGTCATTCTATTTTTCCACGAATTAAATGATCTGGTAGAAATAAGAATTAAAGTCTCAAGAAAAGCACATTGCTAAAGGCTTAGAACTTGTCTATTTTCATTTTAAAATGATGTTTAGATCTAACTAATTTGCTTTCATGCTGCAATGGAGCATCAGCGAGTTTGCCTATTGCTACAGAAGCCTGTCTTCTTTGCCACATGAAAGCATTCTTGGAATATCTGTGAAGCAGAATCCTTAATGGCTAACCCTGGATTGCAGTATAGGCCCTTATAAAGTGCAGATTCATTCCTAAAGAAAAGCAATTCAGACTCCCAAAGAGACACAGCAGGCTGGCTTGTCTGCATCGAGCTATTTCCTGTTCACTTCTTGATGTTAATTGTGCCGAGTTGGGTCGACCTCACCTCCTCTCACCTTCTTAATTAAGGGCCCAGCCTAAGTCGTCACTCTCAGGCTTCAACATATTTTTTGTGCTTCACCAACTGCACTGACTTGCCTCCCGACTCAAGTGACCCAAGGAGGATTTGAGCTTTCATTTTTTTCAGTTTTTATTTTAATTCACGTCTCGTGTTTTCCCTAAAGCCTGGCTGCTGTCTGGCAGGAGCCTCTACCTGCACCCACAGGAGAGCAGACAAAGATATTCCATCTGTAGCTTTTATACACACAAATTAAGATTTGAGAAATACAAAATAGAATGGATAAGCATAAGACAGATACGAAAGAAACATCATTACAAGCTCCTTATCACAGTAAATGTCATGTTCCCATGTTAGTGTAAAGTTACATTCTAAGTCTCTGACACCTTAGTAGTTGAGCCTGTTTCTTGTACTTACATTGAATCACAACATTATGGCAGGATAAAATAAAATAAAATTAAAATAAATAAAAATAAAAATAAAATAAAATAAAAGCACTCCAGAAAGGGAGAAAATACATTGCTAAAGGATATTATCATTATTTTTTTTTGCACAGAAAAACTTACATATAAACTCAGCCTTAGAGAAGCCTGAGTTAGTGTCTTTTTTTTTAACTACAGAAAATTATTTTGTATGTACAGCTTTATACTGCTGCTCTCACTGATGTCAACACAGAAATGCTCTTTGAGAGTGTTAGAAGTGGCTGCTTTGATGGGAATCATTACAGTACCGTTTAATTCTAGTGGATATATCCCACAGCTGTGGGAGTGTTTCACAATTGTAATTAATCAAACCATGGACAGTGTCTCCTTTGAATTTTTTATAAAAGCCATATTGCACACACAGCATTTATTGGAAAATATCCTTGTTGGAATACGTTTTCAACTCCTGCCAATTTTTATTCCCTAATGAGATTTATTGCTAGCATATTCTCTTTCTCTTGCTCTAGGAAAATTATATAATTCTTCAGGATCTGTCATTTTCCTGCAAGTATAAGGTGACCGTCCAACCAATACGGCCGAGGGGTCACTCAAAGGCAGAAACCGTTTTCTTTACCACGCCACCGTGCTCCTCTCTTAAGGGCAAGAGCCTCAGGCACGTTAGCTGCCCTGGTGATGCAGGTACGTTGTGACCTGAAGACCTCCGCGTCTAGGTCTAAGATGTCAGCAACGCTGACAACCTTTCCAAACGGTGTTTTACAAGACCCTAAACACTGAAATACTCTCCCTTCTAAATTAGAATATGATGGTCCAACTTGAAGGCAACATATGTAGGGATATATGCATAATTTTATAATCCTGACAGCATTGGAAAGATGTCCTTTGCTGGCAGTATTATCTCTTTAGAAATGATGTCACATGTTTAGACACCACTGGTGTTTTGGCGTGCCTAGGCATAAGTTATTTCATTTTCGTTCTACTTCTTTGCCATGTGAGTTACCTTCACACACTCCCCACCCCAACACACCAACCCCCATGTCTGGACTTTCCATCCCCTTCTCCTTGCCCAGTCCCCTTTCTTGAAGTGGGAACCACAGGGCTCCCTCAGTGCAGTCCCCTAAGCTCCTTCCACCCACTCTCTCAATGACATCAACACTCACCCTTCCCACTGTGGTCATTGCTGTTCTCTGAGAAATGGCTAAGTCTTGTCCTAGTCTACACGTGTCTCCTTCTTCCAGCCCCAAAGCAGGCTTCCAAAAATAATCCCCAAAGGATTAGAAGCACTTAGCCCAAAGTAGAAGCGCTGAGACCCCTACGTCATCCTCTCCCCAAATGTCAAAGGGACGATAGCCTGAGCCCATGCTTAAAGAACGAGGTCAGCTGGCTCCCACCTCCCCAGAGAACGGCTGCCTCAAGTCCCTGCACTGAATATAAAACACGTCCCATGGTCACACGTTCTCCGGTAGTCTAAGCCATGTCTTCCTTTCTGCCTCGCTGCAGGTCTCCTTTCCAAGGTGCTAGCCAAGCCGGAGAATCTTTCTGCTTTATTCATCGTCCAAGATGTTAACATCACCGGCCACTTTTCCTGGAAGATGGTCAAGGCTCATCTCTATCAGCCCATGACTGGGTTTCAGGTGACATGGGCTGAGGTCACGACAGAGAGCCGACAGAACAGCTTACCCAACAGCATTATCTCACAGTCCCAAATACTGCCGGCGGTAGGTGCCTCCTCGTACCCCGTGTCCACGCTGCTCAGTCTTTGTGACCGTCAGAGTCGGGTGTCTCTGTTATGCCGCGGGCTGTCCTGCTGAGTCTTACTTCTGCGTTTGCTTCTTCTAAGCATGTCCTTTTGCAAACATGAATGCACCACTAGTGTTTCTGTGACTAGATAAGCGGTAGCATGTGCTGTCATCTAGACACATTTTGATTACAAGCACCAGCTTTTTAACAAGCCTTATCCTGTCTATCTTGTATGCAAGTGATTTAGCCGTTTCCTCCTGTCTTTGTTAACGCCATGTCCCCCTGATTCACGGGGAAATGCCCTGTTTGGAGGGTTGAATTGGGGGGAAAATACCTAAAAGAAGCTTATTGTTTGTCTTTCTTTTCCCCTTTCAAATTTGGCTAGTGCCCGTAATGAGTTGGCCTGTCTTCCAGGCCACTTAATTCCTTGGCTTGAAAAAAAAAAAAAATGTGTGGGTTTTTACCCTCTCTGAAGATGCACTTAGAATACCCAACTCCTGTTCCAAAGTCCAAAAAAAAAAAAATAATAATAATGATAATAATAACTTAAATCCGGGAAGGAAAAATTCCAGAAATTAGAAGCCGGTTATTGTATTAAATGTACTAGGTTTTATTGAGTTTTGAGAGGAATGCGTTGGCATAGAAATGAACATTTTCAGTTATGGGTATTGACAGATACTGTGTTTTAAAGCAAATAGTTGGCTCATTCACTGAAATTTGGATTATCAAGAATTCACATCACAAGATGTGCAGCTGAAAACTTTAAACCATGGGAAAGTCTTATGTTAAGGAATAAAAAGACATAAAATCCCAGGAGTGAGCCCTGAGAACTGGCACCTCGGCACATTTTAACTCTGCCAAGTGTCCTGTGCTGCCAAGAATTGAGCTAGGTGCTAAGATGCCACCATACGGCAGAGAACTCCAGCAAATGAGAAGCAGCCTACAGATGAAAGTGGGGCTTTACAAAGCAACCAAACACACACATGCACAGTATTGTCCTGTGGGGGGAAAAGACCGTCCTAGACTGCGTGTCCCCTGTGCGTTGTCTCTAAAAGGTCGCTGATGAGCACCTCCTTGTATGTTGCTTCCTCAGGATCACTATGTCCTGACAGTGCCCAATCTGAGGCCATCGACCCTCTACCGACTGGAGGTACAAGCGCTGACCACAGGAGGGGAGGGGCCGGCGACCATCAGAACGTTCCGGACGCCCGCCCTGCCCCCCTCTTCTGCACACCGTGAGTAGACTGTCAGGGCTTGTGGACACAGAGGAAAGTCTTGGTGAAAAACAGAAATAAATGAATAAGTGATTACAGATCTATGGGAAACAGGGAACTCTCCTTACCTGAAATTGCATTTGCATCTACTTACTGGATTTTATATAGCTACCTTTAGCATAAATTGCACAGGTGATGCTGAAGTGCCTTTTCTCCCTTTCTTTATGCCTCCCTCCCTCTTATTTCTTCCTTCCTCCCACCTTCCTTCCTTTCCTTCACTTTCTTGCATTTATTTTCTACATAATACATGCTTTTTCCTGATTTTTAAGCCATAAATACATATGAAAAAAAAAATCAATAGTCTCACATCAATCTGAAATTTTTTTTAGGATTTTTCAAATATGACAATATAGAAAGTAACATTTTGCTCAGGAACTTATTTTCTTGTTACATAAATTTTACTGTAATATATTACATAAATTTTCTTCACAATATGACCCAAATCCATCAACTTGATTTATTGCTAAACCAAGTAAAATTTAAAAAAGAAAATTGTCACTTACGCTTTCAAAACAAGTAGCCTCTTGCTGATTTTTTAATTATGTACTTGGTCTTTTGTCTTTTTCTGTGTCCAGCAATGGATTGCAACCCTCAGTGTTGCCCCCGTACAGGACCGGGGACCGGCAACGGGATTGCAACC